GCTCACCCTGACTTTATAGATGCTGCTTTTACCAACTTCTTCTTCTTCAAACATGACGAGAGTCTCTATGGCCCGCTGGTCAAACACGTCTCCTTTTTTGATTTCTTCAAGGTAAGAGTCACAAAGCTGCATGATGAAACATTGTTATTTTATAAAATGTCTTAAACTGATTAATTATATGTAATAAAATGGTGAACAGCATTGAAAACTATTTATATTCCTATCATCCTAACTTTATTTGTTTTATCCCTTTTAATTGCTTTGCATCAATCACTGTGATGTTTTCCTTTCTTGTGCCCTTTTATCTCTTATTCTTAAATCTCATTCAATAATTTTACTTTCAGTATTGTTGCCAAATTTTCCCTTTCCTTTGCCCTTTTCTCATTTATACCGTCTTTTTTTTTTCTTCCTTCCTGAAGGAATCTTATTACTAATTCCAGCCTAGAGTAAAAACAACTAATAAATAAATATTGGATGATCTGTTTATTAAATAAAAAAAAGGTGAAATGGTTGGAGAAATATTAACTATGCTGAATTAAAACTGTGGCAAAAATTATTTGTTTTCTTGTTTTCTCTCCTTTTTTGTTCACCTGCAGTACAAGTATCAGATAAACATCGACGGGACGGTGGCAGCGTACCGTTTGCCCTACCTACTAGCAGGAGACAGCGTGGTCTTAAAGCAGGATTCTGGCTACTATGAGCACTTCTACAATGAGCTGCGACCGTGGGAGCATTACATCCCAATAAAAGCAAACCTGGGTGACCTGCTGGAAAAGATCCAGTGGGCCAGAGACCACGATGAAGAGGTGATCGTATGTTGGTTAATTATGGTCGCAAAAATGAATGGTGTCATTATGATTAGCCTTTATGGACTGTTTTAACGGTCAAAAATGTCCTACAACTATCAAAAAGGCACACTTTAGCTTTTACAACAGGACCAGTTATAAATGAGCTGTTAAAACATCATCTGAAGGAGCAGCGTAAAGGAAGGATACAGGTCCTTATTGGGTCTGTTAAATAATGTCCACATTAATTTTGCAATCCATTTCTTCAGTTTGCTGTGTAATGCTGTAGGCAGCCCATTTTACAATCTATTATTCATGAGGATAAATCTATGAGTTGCTGAGATTTTCTAATGCCACCATGAGTTAACTATAAATGTCGATCAACAAAAGCTCAACAAATACAGTGCCTTAAAAAATCATAACACCTCTTAAAACGTAGTCACAACATATTTTTTTTTTGTGTGTTTTAGTTTTTTGTTTTGTAATTTTAAAATCAGAGGTGTCAAGTAACGAAGTACAAATTCTTTCTTACAGTTCTTAAGTACACTTTTTAGTTATCTTTACTCCATTACTTTACTTTTCTTCCTACTTCTGACTTCTACTCATTACATTTTCACACAAGTATCTGTACTTTCTATTCCTTACATTTTTAAAACGTTACTCGTTACTCTTGACTTCAGTTTAATGTTTAAAAATATTTATTTCACATCATGTGCGCCATCCAATGCAGATCATTGGCTCCATCCACATCTAGTAAAAACTAGTGTAATTGGATGAGTCATATAACGCAAACACTCATTGGTTAGCTAAAGGAAATCATCAGAAGCAAGCAGGTGTTCTTCAAACTGCAAACCTGAATTGTCTATGCCATGGTACAATGTCGGATTCAGAAAAAGATGTTGAAATGTCTGAAAGGTTGGACACAGACGAGAGCGTATCGGGAGATCAACAAGACATTCCTCATCCTTGGAGCTATCTCAAAGAATTTTTCGAAATAGTCGAAAAATTGAGCTTTCAGTTCATATAGTGGCATCTGGCTGTTTGTTTTAAAGGTTACTTTATACTTTTATAATTTCAGTAGTTTTTTGAGCACATACTTTTTCACTTTTACTTGAGTAAAGAGGTCAAGTTGATACTTTAAATTTTACCAGAGTGTTTTTAAACTGCAGTATCTATACTTCTACTTAAGTGTAGTTTTGACACCACTGGTTAAAATTCTAATCAAGCACAATTAGGGCTGGGTATTTTCGCCTGAATCGATTCGATTTTTGATTCATACAGTTGTAAATCAATTAATTTCGAATCGATCTGTTTTTACAATAATGAAAGTGGTTCAACTGTTTTTCAAAATGCTCATGTATTTTATTTTTTCCTGTCATATTAACCACCAAGTGCAAACTTGTAAATCAAACAGTTTAAACTTGAAATGTGAACAAAACTGTCTCAAAAGTGCAAACTTGTTTGTGAAAAGTGAAAAAGTAAAGCCTCACTTGAGCGAGCAGACGTGTGATCTGCATGAGCTGCATTATCTTCGCTGCACAAACCACATTTGCAGCATTGTAACAACTACAGGGTGTTTGCTGGTCGGCCCCCATTTGTTAATGTCTATATTTGCAGCTGTCTGGCTTGAAGTAATCATGAGTGCATCTTTCCTGCTCATTTGATTGTGAACGTCACGCGTGTCACTATAAAACTAATTGATCTCATTCCCTAGACATCGATTTTGCAAAAATTTAAAGGAATCGATCCAAAATTGATTAAATAATTTTTTTTTTTTACCCAGCTCTAAGCACAATATATAGTTAAAATGGTGGCAGTTGGCAAAATGTGAAACATTCGAAGGGGTGTGAATGCATCACATTCCTGTCCATTTTAATCCTGATGAAAACACATTTTTAAATTCAGCATCTAAACTATGTTCTTGAAATGCAATTTTTCTTTAGCCCTTTTTTAATGTAATTTTTATCTTGTTGCAGGCAAGGAAAATTGCTCTGGCAGGACAACAGTTTGCACGGAATAATCTAATGGGAGACAGTGTATTCTGTTATTACTACAAACTTTTCAAGGTATTTTCCATTTATTTTGTCCTGTTTTCCTGCAGTAACACCAACCTGAAAGCACCACAGTAGCTTTTGTGAAGGGTAAACTGTATTCATACTGTCCTTTTTGTTGTGCTTCTTGTAGGAGTATGCCAAACTTCAGATCACAGAGCCTAAGGTTCGAAAGGGCATGGAGCTTGTAGAGCAACCCAAAGATGACTTGTTCCCATGTTCCTGTCACCGGAAAGCGGTAAAGGATAGCAGCAAAAAAATCACCATCAATAAATGTACTTATTTCTGTTGTAGAGACCATAATAGATTTATTTTGTGATTAATTTGCTTTATTTACAAGCGTTACAAGTTCCAGAAAGTAAATCTTCAGTAGAAACTCAGCTTGATCATAATAGGACACAATAAGACTACTACACCGCAGCTTCCTATAAGAACAAACTTTTCATCTTGCAGTATTTGGCTCCCTCTGCTGTATATGAATTGCCATTGCACCTCCACCCACGTTCTGATGATTTAATAAAAAAAGTTGAAGTGTTTTATAGGCATCTTATGTAGTTTTTGGTATGATTGTTCCTGAGTTAACTAAACTATTTTCTAATGATGTTATTTGTCTTTCCCTTTTGCAGGTAAAAGATGAACTTTGAGAGAAACCCATGATATCTGAACCCAGCAAACAATTTTTCAAGTTATGATTTATTATTATTATATGAATTACATTTTTTTAAAACATTAAAGATGTTTTTATAAATGTTGTGTGGGTTTTATTTCTTTGCAGTTGTTCTGTATGTATACATGTGAAAAATATAGATCTAAAGTATAAAACCATAGCGAATTTAAAGCAAATGTAGTAATGCTGCTGTATTTGTGCAACAAGCAAAAAGATAAAAAAAAAAAAAAACATGCATATTATTTTATTGGACCAAGTATGACAGTTTTGCAGGTGAAGGAGAATATTTCATTTTTTTTCCAAAACTGAAATTGTCTTTTATGCGAAATTTCTGTGTACAAACAAGGAATTAAACTTTTCTATTGCTTTCAACATAATATTCGGGACAAATGACAACCTGCCTGTTTAAAAAGAATACTGAAAGGAGGAGCTGACAGCAAAAAAGTTAATAGCAAAGGTTTGACCCAAACATTGCATAACAAATAAGAATAAAAAGTCCTATATTGTAAATTCAAAGGCATGATCAGCCATTCCTCAAAGGAATGGCTGATCGATTCGATAAGGAAGGAAATTATGTAAATATTTAATACATTTCTTTACATGATACATTTTGACTTAGATGATGAAATCCAATTGAGTTCACAAGTCACTCATGGTAAAGTCACTAAATCAACACAGACAACTGAATAGCAGTACGCAAGTTTGCTTTATTTTAAGAAAACAAAGGAAGTGCTTTGTAGACGGCAAAAGCCTTAATTATTCTCTGACCACCTTGTGTGGGAAGTGTGTGTTGAACTTGGCACTGATGGCCTTGTCTTGTTTTTGTCGTCCATCCCCTGAAGTGCTTGAAGGGGGGGTGGGGGCAGAGATGTTATACTTCTTTTTGGGCCTTAAACTTGTAAAATTCATAAATGAAAGGAAGGTCAGTCCTGGTGATCCTCTATTATTCGTTGAGATTTGGACCTGTGCTGTTTTGTAGATGAACTACACTACTGTATACAGAGATTTGGATTTGCACAATACTGAAGATGACTAGAAAATCCTTTAGAAGGTTAGATTTTTTTTTTTTATGCAGCAGGAAGTACAGTTTTGACTTTTTTCTGCTCATGGTCTGTGTGCGAGGACCTCCTCGGGTTATTAAGTGGTTCCTAACTGGAAATGGTTTACAGTTTTGTTGGGGATGAGGAGAGCGTGCTTTTAAATTCAGCACCAGGTGGTTCTGAGGCAGTCCATCAAAATATGGTGACAGCATCATGCTGTGAGAAATCTGTTAGAATGGCCTAGTCAAAGTCCACACCTGATTAAAAGATGCAATCCAATCAGTTCACTTAAAATAATATATATATATATATATATATATATATATATATATATATATATATATATATATATATATATATATATACGTGTGTGTGTGTGTGTGTGTGTGTGTGTGTAAATAAAGACAGCTCCCCAACACTAGATGGCACTAATTAGCAGTCATTTTAAATCGTTTTCTTTTCAAAACGTGTTTGCAGAGGAGGAGAACAGCCGGTAATGGACAATTTTAACGAGGTAAACTATCTAAACTCAGATGGACATGTGTTTAGGCTGTAAGATTCCGGTCATACACGCATGAAAATGTGATGAATGTTATTAGGCGTGACTGACTGGATGTTTTATTGTTTTAAATGTGAATTTTCAGGAGTTGGTGAAGGTGCATTTCGGGACAAAGAGTCTAGACGCAGTGTTGTCATCTCCAGCCTCTGATAAAGATGTTCAAACAGCTGTCATTCTGACACATGGTGCAGGAGGAGACATGAATTTCAAACATTTGGTGTCTTTAGCACGCGCCCTAACATCTGAAGGTTTAGTCTGCCTCCGTTTCACATGCAAAGGCTTAAACTTAGCTTTCAGAGTTAAAGCTTACAATGCTGTGTGGGTAAGTATTTTAATTTGTTTTTATAATGCAGTAAATTTAACTTTTCATTTATATTTATTTTTTTTTTTTTTTATATTTAAAACGATGTTCCATGCAAACAATACTTCAACTTATCTTCCTATGCTGTAGCTCATGGATGTAAAAGTTCAGTCCTGGAGATGTATGATCCTGCAACCTTTAAATGCATCTCTCTCTGCCTTGCAAGAAGGTTGCAGGTTCAATTCTGCTTGGAGTTTGCATATTCTCCCTGTGCATGCCTGGGTTCCCTCCTGGTACTCCGGCTCCCTCCCTCAGTCCAAAAGCTTCTCTAAACTCTCCTTTGGTGTTTCTTGTTGTTTTCCTCTCTGTGTTTTGTTCTCAGCTGACTTTTCCTGCTGTCTCAAAAGGAATGAATGATTTTTTTCCCCATCACTAAGCTTAGCTCACTTAGCTGATTACTCCTTTCTGTGTTTCCAAAAAAGGGGATGGAAAAAGTAAATAACCAAGTCATTTTTTTCACTGTAGACAAGCCATGATCTGCTTATCTGTTCTCCATTTTTCATTTGTATGAAATAATAACTGGATGAATCATGACAGCAGACAAGAAAGAGGAGAGCAGGAGGCGGGGTTACTAACCTACTTGCTCTGGAGAGCAGAGTTTGGTGCTTTTAGATGTTGTCGCTAAAGTCTCCTGTAGCAGAAAAAAGTTCCTAGATATGGCGCTAGTTGCTTTTTTTTTTCTTTAATAAAAGCGCTACAGGGGTCTGAAAACTTGCTAAATTTAGCGACTAAAGCGCTAAGTTGGCAACACTGCCCTTCACACCGTTTGTTTGCAAATGTTTTGCTGCTGGTTGTTTAGACCTTTCTGAACATGTGCAGCAAATGATGATCCAATGTGGATGAAAATCCTTTTTAGCAAAAGGGTTTGTATCAAAGACATAGTTAACGTGCACAGATAAGGAATAGTTGTATTAACCATACATGTAAACAGAGTTTTATGGGCCCCCCCTAATGGTAACACCATGTGATTTGCCCATATATTTGCATTTTGCCATAGATTTTTTTAGCTCTAGGTATGAATTCTGTGAAGTTAGGGTCAGTAGATGGCAGACTGATGAGGCGACGCCACCATAGAAGGCACTTGGGTCACAATATATATGACAGGGTCACAGATTTTGTTGTAGCAGGCCACTTTGAGAAGGAAAGCAAATAAATGTTGTAGGATTGTTTCACTCCAGGAATAGACTTGGGCAACCTTGATGTAGATTATTCTTTGAATAATTTAATGGGCTACAACGCCTTTAATGGCATGATTTTAGGCAAATGGCAGCTTATCCGAGGTGTATAATTTAGGCCTATCTCTTGTATACAGGGTTGCCAACTCTGGGAAAATTAGCTGAGGGTCACTGCTCAGCCAGCCATTGTCACCCAGCCCACCGACATTAATTTATTTTTGCTTTTCATTGTGGGTGAATGTATTTATTTTTATTAAACATCTAAATCAAACCCAATTTAAATTAGTTAGCTGACTTGGTTTCTTAATGCTATTTATATAATATTTTTTTAGGGAGAATTCACAACCCTATTTGTATAACTGTTGGATTTTCTTTGATCTATTCACATGTATTCTGTAGGTTTGTTTCTTTAAGGCTGTTCAGATGCTGAGTGCTGCATTGAGTTCAGGAAAACTGGCAACAATAAAACGCAAGGAAGCAGTTTCAGAAAGTGCTGACTGGAATGAACAGATTCTAGATCTTTTGAGGTCACGTAGAACATTTTTATTTTTTATTAGTTTAAGGTCCCATTAATGTTTCCTGCATAATTTCAACATCAGCCAGTACCACGTTTAAAATAAATGCCATGCAGAAACATTGCTGTCTGCTTAGTTGTGCAGTTTTAAGCACTGTTGCTTTGCAGCACGAAGATCTTGGGTTTTTAAATCCTGAGGCGATGTGATCAATCCTTTTAATGTCATTTGTCTTAAATACATTATATATATATATATATATAGTTGTACACTCTAATAACATTTCATTTTCTTTCTAGGATTACTTGAAAACTTTGACGAGGTTTAAATTAAAAAACATATTTTTTGGAGGTAAAGGGAAAATGCCACCTTTCCACTTTGTATTTCCTCTCACGAGAAGCATTTCATGTTTAAAAAATATTACTGCACTGAACTGGAAACTTTTTGTAATGAAATCAGGGAGGTCAATGGGAAGCCGTGCCGCAGCAGCCCTTGCCCGGCAGCTTAGTGATGAATCTGAGGAGGCAGTGCAGGGCGTCATCTGCCTCTCTTTTCCACTACACCCACCAGGAAAGACCCACGCCTATCATCAGCGGAGTGAAGATTTAAAAAAGCTGCCTGAAAGTGTTCATGTGCTGTTTGTCTCTGGCACAGAGGACAACATGTGTAACAGGGTGAGTGTTAAAATGTTCTAGATAGAAAGAAAAAATTATATCCTGACATGGAGGAATATTTCAATATTTATTGGATTAACTGATCTACCTTCAAGCATCGCACAATAATCATCACCAAGACTTCTATAATGTTGTTTTACTGGCTTTGGTTATTAACACGGACGCAACGGTGACTGCTGCTGTGTAATGTCCACACTCACCACATCAGCAGGGATACTAGATGCCACTGTCTCCCGTTTCCAGCCCAAAAAATTTTCAGAAACTGCCTGGATATACGAAATCTCGCCCAATTTGAACCAAAGTCTATTGATCTCTTAGGCTATAAATCTAAAGAACATTTTTTTTTTTTTTTACCCATAGATGGCCATTGTAAACTGCCAGATTGGGAAACATCCCAACCTGGCAACAATGCACGTAAGACAGGAAATGTTAGCCTTTAGAGGCATTCAAACATAAATTGGCTAAATATAAGAGGAACATTGTAGTTTGGTTCAAAGAAAGCATTTGAGTTTTATTATAGTTTAGTTTGTTGCAAGGATTTTACACTTTGAAATGGAAAATTACACCATATGCCAACCGTTCTAAGGATATGCATGACAAGGAAGGGCTATAAATACTGCATGCATCATATACGGTAGGTTTTTGACATTGTATTACTTCTTGAGCTCCTTGAGGTATTTACTGTCACAGGTAGGTGCTTCGGCCAGAGAGTAAGTGTTAGAGTCGGTTTGATTTAAGGAGGGCCGGTCCTCGCACACTGAAATTAGGACCGGCACACGGTATTACAGATTACTAGTCCAAGCCTGCTTATAGCGACAGTGGAGAGTAAAAACTGCCTTTTAACAGAAAGAAAATATAGGAAGCAATAAAGCTATATGAAATGTGCTTCCATGTTTGGGATCTTGTGGCTCATTCTCCAATTTCAGAAAAGTTTTAACTGTCAGATTATCTTTGAAAGGGGTTTTATTACTTATAGTCTTTCTTGTTTCTCATAAACTTGTTTTCACCATGCATTAATACTTTGGTGTCATCTGACTCCAAAAAATAAATAACACAAATCTGTTCCCTCGTTTGCTGATGATCACTCAAATGCTTTTAATGTTCATAATGTGACTTCTCTTAAATCACAGCAAAGCTTCAAGGGTTGGCTTAAATATTTTCACTGAGCTCATATTTACTGATTTACTGTAGATACATTTCTCTTCAAACATCTAACTCAAATTGTTTGCATTTGTATTTTGTATCAGATTGGTTTTACATCAGACTACTTTGTGTTTGTTTTGTATCCTACATCTTTGGTGCTAATTATCTGCCATAATGTATTCATTTTATTTGCTTGTTTACATCAGTAAACCATCTTTTAACTTTGCTTCTACTTTTTTTTTAGTGTCTCCTAACAGTGTATTGGGGATTTAACGACCACAATGGTGGCTTTTCCTCTTTTTCTTTGCTCAGGACCTTTTCAACAAGGTTGTCAAGGATATGAAAGCTGATGCAGAAGTTTTTTGGTTACAAGGAGGCAGCCATGGACTGACGGTGAAAGGAAGGTCTGAGGAGTCTGTAATGGATGAAGTGAATTTAAAAGTGCTCCTGTGGATTAAAGAAAAAACTACTTAGAGGAATTGCCATCTGATGTTTATTGATTGCTTCGAATTATATTTAAATAAATGATTCTACAAATAAATGTGGGAGTTAATACTGCTAGCCTTATGATCTAGTCACAAATCAATACTTTTTTGTTTAGTTTGCAAAACATTTCTTGCTCTCCTGAAATGGTTAAGCATAAAAAGAGAAGAACTGAAATATAACTTGGGAAGGCTTTATCTCTTAAAAAAAAAAAAAAAAGCACACAAATATTTATTGTCTATTATTGGCTGACAATATATTATTACAATTTACAGTTTTTTAGTTTTTTTTGTCAGGTTTGATTCTCTACCCTTGGTCATAATTTCTCTGCTGTCCTGTGAAACTAATATTGTAATATTTACAAATTTACTTGAAATACATCACTGTTTCAGCCCGTTACTTTATATTCTGGTCACCTATTATTACATTTAATTTGGCCTGCATTTTTTATATATATATATATATATATATATATATATATATATATATATATATTTGTATTATTTCCTCTGTAAACCAAATGATTTAATCCTCTTCCCCTTTAAAAAAACAAACAAACAAAACTGTGAAGATGCAGAACTAGCAAGACGCAGGGTGAGGCTGACAATGCCAGTATGACTGAAATACAATAGAAATATCCTTTTAGGGTTCCACTGTTGAGAAATTCAGGAATAAAAAAAAAAGAATTATATTTGAAATATTTTTAAATGCACAGGGTTATTATTTTACCCTCTTCAAAAAATGTTAATGGAATAGAAAAAAGTGTCTTTCAGTCAAAACAATGAATCATTGAGACTTTTATTTAATAAAAGTCATTTGAATTGAAGGAAAATACATTACAAATATATATTTAAAATTGCTTTAGCAAGTTTTTAGGAAGTAACTTGCATAACAGTAGCCTTTTAATAAACAGAGGCGTAGCAGGAAAATCCTAATAGGGGTGGCTAGTTAATAACCAATGTACATTGAAGGGGGGACCGGAAAGGCACTAGAACCTCAGGGTCAGTCTACACTGTTCCAACAGGAATGAGCACAACATCCATATTTTCTAAATAAAGACAAACTATCCTTTCCTGCAGCCTTTGCTAACTAATAGACGCATATATTTAAACATCTATGCTATGTAAATAAAAGGTATATTGGACAAAATTCTTTCAAGTTTGAGTCTTGTGTGAACATATTTTATATTGTTATAACCTATTTTTATCAATAATTATTTGCAAAAAAAAAAGATATTTAAACCTACTGATTCACATTTAATTTTTAAGTTATTAAAGTAGTTATCTATGATTTCACTGAAGACTGCTAGATGAATTGCAGAGGTCCATAATTTTATCTTTACCCCAAATAATTCAAAATGTAGTTCTGAAAAGAGCACGAATTCTGTATCATCTTTAATGTTTGTATATTGATGTGCATAATTAACCCCAGTGTTTCTGTTGTCAAGTAGTTAATTTTTGAAAAATTTAAATGTTTAATAAGTTTGAACATTACCCTTCAGAGTGTTACTGCTGCCATCGTCTGTGTTAGAGGGAAAAAAATGGAAGGGGTGGCCAATGATTGGCTAAGGGTGGCCATTGCCACCCCTGGCCCCCCATCTAGCTCCGCCCCTGTTAATAAATAGAACTTTTGTACCATGTTGCCTTAGCAAAAAGTAGTATACTTGAAGTAAATTCTATTAAGAATACTTAAGTATAAGTTTAGAAAGTATACCGAATAATGTACTTATAGTGTACTTGAACTAAATTGGGATATTTTTAAGTTTACTAAAGTATACTTTAAGTATACTTTAGTAAACAATAAAGTAAACAGTAAAATATATGTTAAATATATGAAATATAGTTTAGAATAAGTAAACTCTAAGTGCACTGCCTGATTTTAAGTATGAAATCAGTGCACATTTAGTATACTTGAATAAACTACTTTTTGCTAAGCCAAAAATGCGGCACCCAACTGAACCCAACCAAGTACTTGGTACGTAGTACATATGAAAGTTCCACAAATTTTGTTCATATAAATGGTTTTAAAAGAAGATGGGAAAAAGCAGACATGTTTATTTTTTCTAATTAGCACTACGGTGCGCACGTTGAGGGTTAAAATGTGTTACTGTTCCTTTAAGACCAACTCTGACGCATACACCGGCTGAACTCCTATTGGCTCCTCCACTTCCGTACATTTCAAGCAGAGAAGCATGGCCGCCGGAGAGCTTTGGAACAGGGTAAACATCCCCTATCCCTGTGCGACTTCATCCGTCCATATGGAAATAACTCCACCAACAGGTAAGGATTGTAAAAACGGAGCATTGCAGTCTTTGCAGCGTGGGAATTCTGACATAAACACGCAGAAATCTCCATCATGCAAAACACGTGGGGTGGCAGGGATACTGATCATTTCTATTTGTTTTGCAGTTAAATTTTTTAAAGCCCTGTTGGTGGAAAATGAAGAGGTACTAAAGCTCCTTCGGAATAAGATCTTTCAGACGGAGATCCGGCTGCTCTATGAGCTGATGTACATCCTGAACAACAGCTATAGGGGCAACAAGACCTTCAAGGGTTTACAGCTGGTAAGAAGGGTCACTTTCTACTTACCCCACACTAGTATTTTTAAAAGTGATTATTTTTACACAAATATTTCCATCCACAATAAACTTTGCACTTTCTACTGGATTATTTTTAAATATCTTTCAGGTTGAACAATGTATAAACAGACTGAAGAATATGAAGCTGGATACTGCTCTTCAGGAGCTGGTAGAACTCTGCCCCAATCAGATCCAAATGTATGTTTAAAAATGTATTAATCTTCTTAATGTGGGATGCTCAGTGGTGCAAAGAAGGTTCTGGGTTCGATTCCCGGCCTGGGGTCTTTCTGCATGGAGTTTACATTTTCTACCTTAGCATGCATTGGTTCTCTCCGGGTACTCCGGCTTCCTCCAACAATCCAAAACATGACTGTTAGGTTAATTGGCTTCTCTAAAATCCCCTTAGGTGTGAGTGTGCGCGTGAATGGTTGTTTGTCTGAGTGTTGTCCTACGATGGACTGGTGACCTGTCCTCTTGCCTGTAGAAAGCTGGAGATAGGCACCAGCACCCCTCGCCACCCCAGCTTGTGATAAGCGTGTTAGAAAATTTATGGATGGATGGATGTTCTTAATGTTATTTACACAATTACAGTGTTATTGCAGATCATTCCTCTCAGCAGTTGCTTGACTTTATAATGATCAGTGTTATTGTTTTAATAGCTACTGTTTAGGACTCAAACAATTATTTGGATTAATTGTGATTAATTGATTATTGAAATAATCGTCAACTAATTTAGTAATCAATTAATAAATAACTGGAGTATAGAGACTATAAAACATACCATTAACCAACAGAGCAACAGTAATTATACCAAAATTGTATAGTAATAAGTAAACATTATATCTTTAAGATAAAAAAAAAGTTTTCCATCAGTCAATATGCTCTTTCCAGAACTCCTCTAGTGGAAAAGTTTTAGTTTCACCTGGTTTAATTTCATAAAAAGCCTTCTTTAAGGAATCTTTGGCTATCCAATTATTAATTGATTAATCCAAAAAAAAAAAACCTAATGGATGAATCGATTTGCAAAAAAATCGTTAGTTGCTGCCCTACTACTGTTTTTGCAATATTTTTCATTCTAGTTGTCTGTTTTGTTTTTTTCCTGCACCGTATTTAACATGTTGTTAAATATGGTTTTCTTCCATATGGCCTTTTATATGCTTTTGTGTTTTAATATCCTTTTACCATTGTATGAATCTTTCCTTCCATTTGCATTTCACTTTGCTGTTTAAACACATAATTTTCCCCACTGAAGGACGAGGTCATTTATGTTGTAATCTAAAATAGATATAAATGTATTTCATTTTCAAGACACGATGCAATTAACAAAAAAAGTTACAGTTGACAAAAGGACTCTTCTATTTACATTGATTTCAGGTTGATTATACTCTGTTTAAACTTTTTTTATAATTGTTTCTTAGGGCCATGTGCATGGAGACCTGTGAATGCAATGTTCCCAGTCAACCGGTTCTGGAGTGGACGTGTCTCAAAGTGCTTGGAGCCGGCAAGCTTCTGAGCTGCACTTTGTCTCGCTGCAGCAAAGCTTTCATGTATCCTACTTTGTTCTCACTTTTCTAAAGATCACGATTATTACATTATATGTATCCATTTAACAGAACCTAGAGAGAATTCGTAGCATTTCTTTTTGTTGTGTTTCTTTCTATAACATGGTTATTTTTAACTGCACAGTTTGGCCCTGTTAGTTTTTCCTTTACGGATTCATTTTCAGACTTTCAAAGAAGCAGATGAAATGGGCTGAATTTCTTATTCTGAATTTGGTGATAACCAGCATGCTCAGTCGTTTGTGGTAAGAAGCCTTCTTTTTATTAATCTGTAGCTACATTATGGTGTCGAGGTTAAACCAGCCAAAGAAAAATGCTGATTTTGAGTTGGGCTGTCTTAATAAAGAATATAATCACATTCTTGATCGATTCTCATATACTTACTGAAATAAATATTCATATAACCAGAGAGGCACATTACCTGTCCTCACAGTTGAAATTAATATTATTTAATTAATTTGCTCTTGAATATTGATATAATACTACAATACATTTGTTGCATAAGTACAATTAAGGCAATGGTAAAAAAAAAAATGTTTTTTTTTTTTTTTGTTTTTAGGGCACTAGTGGCTTTTTTTTCTGACAGTAGGCTGACAGATAAAAAAAAAATGTTTTCAATACGCGTAATCCAATTTTAGATCAGATTGAATTCTGAATTGTTTCACAGCGCTACTTTTGAGGCTTATTTGTCTCAGTAGTCAGAGGATAAAGTTGAAATAATTTAGATCTCAGGGTTTGTTCTTTCCTTTCAACAGGCAGCAATTATCAACTGTGTGTTTAAGCCCAGTTGACTGCATTGCTCTGCTTTAGGTTTTTCCGCTTCATTTAAAGACACTAACTTAGAGAAAAAAGTGATTTATATTTTAAAAATTTTCAGTGGGACCAGTGGGGCTACAGTGATTTACTGAAGCTAAAGCCCTTTGGGTACAAGAACATTAGAAGGCCCCATGTGCAATAAAAGAAAGATACCAAGGATCATGCAGGAACAGAGGGGTTTCATGAGCACTTCACATAAATTGGTGCCGATAACTAACATGGTTCCCCCAGAACTCAAAGCTGAAAGAGAACTGTCAACAGTAGCTTTTAAATCATTTAAAATGAAAAAATAAACAATAAGTGTGGGTGTCTTAAGTCAGAGGGTTGTTGCAGAGGCCTCCGCAGATCTTCCCTGCACATTACAACCAAGCTCAACTTTTTTTTAGAAACTTAGAGATTTTTTTTAGACTAAAAGATTAACCAATTCAGGGTTTTTTTAGACCGATAAAGGTTATTAATGAAATCCGTCTGTTACCTGATATGTGCTGCTAATACTGCTTTTTTTTTTCATTTACATGATAAAAGTTATAAAAAAATGTTAGACAAGTATCAATTTAAACCCAAACGGCATTAATAAACAAACATTAAAATGGAAAGCAAATGGAGCGAGAAGCAATACATGAAGCGCTTCATGTGATCTCAGGGCATGGCTGCCCTCATAAATCATAGAAGATTTTAAAAAAGACTCATATTGATCCTAAAATATCAGCTGGCTGATGTATCAGTCCAACTCTAGATAAAATATAACTATTTTTGATAACTGATAAAAGATTTTGAAATGAATAAAAATTGAGGAAAAACCAACAAATAAAAATAAGCAAACAGAAATAATAAAATAATTTTAGTATGAGTGTAAAAATCTATATTTGTTTTCAATAACTGATTCTAGTTCATATTATTCATGCTTGTTAATATTCCTACCCTTAGTCTTTGGTGTCACTTTCTTGTTAACATAATTACGTTTTCATTACTTCTGCTTTTGTTAGACATTAACACAGACTTGAACTAAAAGTTGCTGTTTTGTTTTTTTTTTAGAAAAATGTGTGTCCCTTTATTTTATTTTTTTTTGCAGAGCTGTATATTAAATCAAGACATTAATTATAAAAAACCATGTACAGTAGATAAGTTTATCATTTACTCTCTACATTATGCATATTTTTCATTGTTGGAGAATACGAGAAATAATTTATGATGTGTGCGCTACAGGCTTAAAAATTACCCAAAGGCATACTATTCAGTGAAAGCTGATTTTTCAGCCTGGTAAAGGTGTGTCCCATTTCCCAGTGGGATATTTTAACCACTAGTTGAATTAAATGCTAAGGAATATAAAGACCGTTAGTGGTGTGGATAACACTAAAATACCTGATTCTTCTTAAGTAGTCGGCAGTAAATGTTACTGAACTGCAGCGACGGTGATGACAGCAAGGATTATTGGTGATTATGTGTGGAGAAAATTGATGAGGAATATGACAGGAATGGAAGTCATCCAAATACCCCCTGTTTAAGTCGTTGCTCTGTGGGGCTGTAAGTTTTTATAGCTCCAACGCTGCTCTGCTGTGCTTGGCTCTGATTGATTTCTGGAAAGCAGGAGTACATAAAAAGCTATTTCTGCCAATTTTTGCATCCGTTTTTATTGTAGCTAATTAAATCAGCAGGAAAAGACTTTTCCCCCTGAGAATACATTCTTGGCTTCGGGTTGTTTTGTGTTGTACATTCAGTAATTTAACAGATGAAAAAAAAACCTATGAAAACATCAGACTGGTTAAAAAAATCAACTGCTGTTGATATCAATATTTTTTCTCCTTTTTTTTATTGCTCAGGTGTTTTTTCCGTGGTTTGTTGGCTAGCCTTTCCAATCTGTACCAGCGGCTTCTGAAGCTCCTGGGGCTTGTGGCCCAAGCACAGCCGATGCCCTACCTCACCGACACGGCCTTGCCAGCAGATATGGCTGATTTCCTTGATCCAGCGGATGCAGTCATGCTGAGGAAGCTTTCAGCATTCAACGCTCATCTAGAAGAAAGAAAAGCAAAATTGAAAACAAGAAAGAAAGCCTCGACTAAAGTGAAAAACAAGAAACAGTCAAAGAATGTAAAAGAAGACCTTGGGGTTCCTGTAGAAAGAGGTATGAAGACACCTGATTATACAAGCTCTAAAGCAAGCAATGCGAGAGGAAAGAATATCTTCATTTATCAGATTCTGTTTGAAAAAAAAAATTCTTTTTCTATCCAATTATTACAAAAATCTCTTTGCAGGTGTCGGTTTTGATGCTGTTAAGCAGCTGTCTTTTGGAAAGGTTAGTGACATTTTTATGCTTTTAACATGTACCATATGCAATGCCCTCTACATATATTTCCAGCTCTTAAAGATGATAAAGAGCCTTAGAATAATCTGTCATGGCTCTAGTATCTTCTTTAAAACAAATATCTGAGCTTAAGTTAATTTTAAGTATATCTATTCAGTTAAGAATTTTTTTAAACCTTTTTTTGTTATATTCTTCTCCTGTGAAAGACTCATAGTATTCGAAGAACTTCTAATTATTAATCCATGACCTCCTGTGGTCAATTTCTTATAGTCACTCCTTGAAAAGTAGAATATCTAGTCTAGTAAGGTAGATATACACTGTTCCAAAAAATAAAGAAGTGCATCAAATGCTCAACTAAAAAGCAGCAGTGTCTCCTCTCAGATCCCAGTGGGGACTAAGCTCCCAGAGAATCTGAGTTGCCTCTTTGTAGTGTCGGATGGTGCCCTAGAGATGCCCTGGATTTAGGCCAGGAGATCATGGAGGCCATACGTGGTATCTATCCTTCATCCTCCTGACATGTCTGCCTACTCTCGCCACATAAGGCTGGGTTTATCTGCGTTTGGAGGAACCTTTGCAACAATGAAAGGTCTAACAATGGACTTGATCCTGATGTCTAATGGGAATCAGAGTGCCAAAACTTATCTTGATCTGATCTGTGTGTCCATCAATGGATGGGCCTCCCATAGCCACCAAACTGATCATGCTTAACTACGTTTTAGGTAATATAGTTTTTTAGCCTCTGCAGACCCTCCCTAGTTTATCACATGATCTCGGAGTATTCTTGCCATCATCTGTGCAAAACAGAAAGGCACCAGTGCAAAGCGTATGATGATGATGATGATGTTGATGTTGGCCAATAATCGGATGTTCTTTGACTCCATTTGAGCTCCATGCTTTCAGGCACTGAGGCTACTGGATGAAGACAAGCCAACCTCAGAAGTCTGTTTTATGGTTTGCACAGAGACATTCATACCAGTGGCCTCTCTAGGTCTTTTGGTTTGACTCTAACAGTCCTCATCCGTTTCCTCCTTATGCAAGATTTACTGCCAGAATGTGCCTGTAGAGACAGCAGACCCTCTAATAATGGCAGATATTGATGCAAAATCCTGCTGGAGTTTGAGTGTCTGTACAATTTCTGTAGGGCCCTTAAACTACTTAAAAGCAGTCACCAAATGAGGGGGGAAATGCATACACATTCAATTATTTCATAGAAGGATTTAAAATTTATTTTAAGTGTGAGAGATCAAGATGATGCTCATTGAAAGCTTTGAATGCATCTAAAAAAACACTTAAGAAGGGAGATGTCTAACTATTTTATTTATTTAACATTTATGTTATTTTGATCACAAAGGAGGTGTCAGAAGAACAGAGCAAGAAAGAAATGTTTGAGAAACTAACGGGTGAGGCTACATCATTTGCACTCATGTCTGCCAGTATGGAAGAGATGATTCAGTGGTGCGGATCTGAAGGGATGAGGAAGACAAAACGTCTCCTTACATTCCTGCGATTAAAGTGCAAAAGGATGAAGTGTCTGGAAGCAGCAGGATACAAGTAAGATGAATAAAACATAAAAATAATAGAAGTTCAGCCATAACTTTGGACTTCTTTGACACATTTTGAATGCTAACTGCTCTCATTATCTGGCCCTTTCTCTCAGTGTTCAGAGGAAACTTCGCCTCTTCAGACAAGAAGTGTGCCTGGCCTTATCTCCCCAGACATCAGCATTGAGGACTTTTCGTTCTCCGGCTCAGAGGATGACTGTCCAAAGACGCCGTTCGCAGCCACTGAGGAAAAGATTTATGGTATCTAGAGCCAGGACTGGTTTAAATACATCAGGAGTGTTTGGACATCAGAAACAAAATGAGCTGGAGATGTTTTTAAAAGATTTCCAAAGAAGCCAGGCTGCAAGCAGGACAACTCTACAGGTCACTAATTCTGATAGAAACGACGACATAGATGATATCTTTGCAATAGCAGGTTTATGACACTAATAACAACGCAGAGTGAAGGTCAGTCCTCCATGTGAAGTGCATACATGCTAAGTGTAATATTAGAACAGTCATTGTATACCTGCTAAATGTTTACAACTCATCACAAGATTCAAAACAAAATAAACATACAGTATGTAGATATAATGCACACTTTTAGCAAAGCTTTTATTTCTGTTCTTCATAACTGACAAAAGGGTTTTGAAATTTTTTTCCCTTAGCCTAGGATGTTTTTTATATTAGCTTAAAAAAACTTTATTGCCATTTTGTACACACAGAGTGTAAACAATATGACATTTTGATGCATAAAGCTTTTGAACAGTGAATGAGCAGCTTACAGCAGTGAAATGAACATTACCGTTTATAAAGTGAAGCAGTGATCACAATGTAAACGGTATAGGAGAAAAGGAAAACCAGGTTAAATTTTAACTTCATGGTGTAAAAGGCAATGGTAAGGAAATGTTCTGTGCAGTGCAAATAAATAATGTGGTGAAAAATGCAGTAGAATATTAAGTTGTGTTCTATTTAAAGGGATTATGAAAAAAATCACCCATGTTGGTAGTGCAAATATGTTTACAAGTATGATGCAGAGTCTGTTAGAGTTTCAACAGTTCAGCAGTCTAATGGCAGTAGGAAAAGGTTATTGCAGAACCTGCTGGACCTGCATCCAATGCTGCAAAGCCTCTTCCCAGAGGGCATCAGGGAGACCAGTCCATGGTGGGGATGTGAGGGGTCATCTATAACGTTACGGGCTCGGGACGCGCAGAGCTTCCGTGAAATTTCTTTAATGGAGGGAAGAGGAGCCCCGATGATCTTCTCTGCGGTCCTCACCACACTTGTCAAGTTCTTCCAGTCTGTGGCGCTGCAGCCTCCACCCCACACAGAGAGACAGCTGGTCAGAACGCTCTCTATGGTGCAACTGTAGACGGTTTTTCAGAACGTTGTGGGCAGGTGGGCTCACCCATCCTCCGTAGGAAGTAAAAGTTCTGTGTCCTTTTGATCAGTGAGGTGGTGCTTACAGTCCAAGTGGGGTTGTCTTGGATGTGCATACCCAGGAATTTGCTGCTGCTGACCTCCACAGCTGAGCTATCGATGACCATGGAGCTTGGTTAGGCCGGTTCCTCATGAAGTTGGTGATGATCTCCATCTTCTACAGGTTCAGGATCAGGCGGTTACCTCTGTACAAGCCCACCAGCTGCTCCACCTCCTCTCTGTAATCCTGGTCGTTATCATCTCTGATGTTAAAAATGTCACTGGGCAAATAAGTGACATCCGGACCATAGAAATAGTAAATAAGGGTAGATGAATGTCACTACTGTTGATATTTCCAGCATCACAGGATGTTGTTGGCAAATAATCAGTTGATGTCAGAATTTGATGACGGTATGTTTTTCAAAAGTAATGGGGGCATCCGGAAGCTTAGCAGTTTTTTTTTTATTCCTTGCCAAAGAAAAAAGCAGTTTATCAGTAATGACGCTACTTATTTTCTTTGGACATGTGACCTTATCCAGATTTAGTCGTGGTTATTTAAGTCCTTTTTTCCCTAAATCCCATAAAGTGAGCATCTTATATGTGAAGTCTACTGAATAGTAAAGAGCTTTTAGGGTGTAGATAAGAAATGAAGAATGTCAGTACAGTAAGATCGTTAATCTAAAACCCAGCATATTATTGAGTTACATTCACCGTTTCCTCCGTAAAAATCCAACTGAGAATGTATGTGGTTATGAGTTGCTTAGATGTAAGTTTAACATTTTTTAAGCTCCTGAGGATATATGGCAGCATTAGTGCTGCATCGGTGCAGGAAGACTATCTTTACTTCCCTCAGCCATGAATTTCCCGCCAGACAACGACTGAAACCAAATTGTTTCTTGTTCTAATAGCATTTTAGAGTAAATAATGGTTCCCGTTTTGATAGCATATGACTGTAAAATAAATGGTTCCTCTTGAGTCATATCAGTATTTTAACTGCATGGTGTTCTATTGGTATAAAGGAGGCTTTGTGAGTAGGAAGAAAACATAAGCCTGTACTGCTATGATGTTCCCTTTAAATAAATCTAACTGAACAGAAAGTTTGGGGCTGGGAACAATTCTATTGCCTTTTATTACTACTTTTAGCAACTGAACTTTTTCTTCTTTGTTTATATTTTAGTTATAGGGTTGTGATTCTCCAGGATTTCTATACATTGTGGGAAAGAATAGAATTTGATTTTTATCATTTTACTTGTCTTGACAAGTATGAAATGAAGAAATTTGTGAAAACACTTTTTTTTTCTTCCAGATTTTGTTCCTTTGTTTTACATAAAAAGAAATGAAATGTTACTTTATTTGTGAAGAATTAATCATCTTTACATGAAGGTATTTTTGATATGCTTAATTTCTTGTACCAAATCACACCGTTTTACCATTTATGATTTATTTTCTGACATGAATGAAAACACCCAAACTCAGATAAAAGGGACTTTTTATTGTTGGTTTGGTATCTAAAAAACTAAACTCAGACTAAATTTTGGTCCTTAGACTGAGTCGTAATGGGTCTTAAAATGTCTATCAATAAAAGCATGATTTCTAGGGTGTTTCTTTTTTTAAATAACAAAAAATGATGTAAAAGATGTTCACTTACTGTGCTTTAAGACCGCTGTTTTTAGCTTAACCCTTCATTATTTGGACATATACATGAATCACAGATTTTAAAACAGGTAATTTGAATAAATCTAAATCCAAACAGTGTAATGGCCCCAAATTGCAACAAAAAAAAACTTAATTATTGTTCATTGGAGCCTAATGTTAGCACCCAAGTCGCATGGGGGTCACAGAGGTACTGCAGGGGGCTTTTAAGATTCAGTCCTGACTCTTTCACTCTTCTTCAGAACAATTGTGGAGTGACAGAACCTGATGTTCAGTTTCCACAGGTTTTCTGAATCTGAAAAGTAATAAATGGTTGGCATTTGTATCTCCTCTACTTCTGAGGTAAGTGCAGCTGCCTTCTATTGTTGGTAAATCACATCAGTATAAATGCATCCATTTTCAGAAAGTATCAGAGGTTTGTTAAATATCAATATTGTATAAACTGCATCACAAAGAACACACTGGACAAATGATTGAACAGCTATTAGATATGGCGGTGGCAGTATTGTGCTGTGGTGATACGTTTCTCTTGCTAAGTAGATGAGAGGATTAATGGAACTAAATGTAGGGAAGTAGGAAAAATTTAAGCTCTTGCAAAATACTTTAAGCTGGGGCAGAGGCTCACTTTATGGAAGGACGATAACCCATAACACAGCCAGGTCTAAAGAAGATCGCTTTGGATTGCAGTGTTTGCGTGTTAAAATTTAAGCTTTATCAAAAAGAAAAGTTTTAAGCCTACCCTTAAAAGTAGACAGGGTGTCTGCCTCACGGACCAAAACTGGTAGTTGGTTCCACAGGAGAGGAGCCTGATAACTAAAAGTTCTGCCTCCCATTTTACTTTTAGAAATTCTAGGAACCACTAGTAAACCTGCAGATTGAGAGTAAAGTGCTCATTTAGGAACATAAGGAACAATCATATCTCTGATATTAGATGGAGCTTGGCCATTTAAGGCTTTATAAGTGAGAAGAAAATATGAGAATAAAAATGTTCAACTTTGAGATGACTAGCTACCTCTTTTGAAGCTGTTTTAAACATTGGATTGCCAATCTTTCTTAAATTACACGAATATACTTCATTCCTAATGTGATCTTTCTTAAAAGATCAAGTTATGACTATATTGCCGCATTTAATTTTGAGACCATATTAGGCTAAAATGCAACAATTTCCAATTCATTGTAATTTTTGACAGCTGGTACTGTACTAACAGTTTAAGTGCCTTAAAACTTTTAATTACATTAAAAATTTATTTTTATTGTTTTTCATTTTCCAGACAAAAACACATTTTGCTGTTTTTTATACTAGTAGGAACACTCCTTAGAAGTTTTTATAAGCGCCTTGCAGCAACACTGTTGAGTGAAATGTTTTACATTTAGATGGTCTAAATTACATTTAGGGGAAAAATTTTGCAGGATTGCTTGATTCTGTTTTGTAAACTGGACCGCCTTCCAGTGAAAGGTCTACTTTTTCTGTTGCACAAAGGGTCTTATCAGATCATCAGCCTCTAAAATTGCAACGATTTTTGACATTTTGAGTTGATTATTAAGCAGTTCAGTCGAAATAATGTGAAAAGGAATAAAATGTTTATATCAAAGAAAAAAAAACACATTTTAAGATAAAAAAAAAAAAAAACAGGGCTCATGAGATTTGGTCACAAGCTCCTTTTAATCTTTTGGTCTGTTTAAAGTTATGTCAATTGTAGGCAAGAGGATTAGGGCCACTGAAAAAAATAAAAAAAAGTTAACAAATTTTTAAATATTATTTCAGTCTAATATGGGAAAAAAGAAAGTCAGAATTCTGACTTTTTTCTCTGAATTCTGACAGCTAACAAACATGTTAACATCAAGCTGTAGCCATGTCTGTTTTAGAGACTAGCTCTTTTGTTTTAATGACCTTCTGCTGCTCCATTAATGAAGGAACATCACCGGGGACCCCTCTGGCACGTAAAAAGTTGCCTAATTTCGTCATTTCCCACCAATGTGTCACTGGCCCTCCCAAACAACTCACATCTTTGTCAGTGAAGCTGAGTGCTCCCACATCTCTTCCTTCATGGTGCCCATCTACATTAAGATCCAAAACTCTGAGATTAAAGTCAGAATTCTGAGAAAAAAAGTTAGACCTCTGAGAAAAAAGTTGGATTTCTGAGATTAAAGTCAGAATTCTGAGAAAAAAGTCGGAATTCTGGGCAAAAAGTTGGAATACTGAGATTAAAGTCAGAATTCTGAGAAAAAAAGTTAGACCTCTGAGAAAAAAGTTGGATTTCTGAGATTAAAATCAGAATTCTGAGAAAAAAATTCGTTATTCTGAACAAAAAGTCAGAATTCTACGACGGAGTATTAGGGCCACACATGAAGAGAAAAAAATATTTTTGCCATGACGAGATTAAACTCGACATGTCGACTTTAAAGTCGACATGTCGACATTAAACTCAACATTTTGAGAATAAAGTTGAAATGTCATGTTGAGTTTAATCTCGACGTGTCGACTTTAAACTCGCCATTTCGACAATAAAGTTGATATATCGTGGCGACTTTAATCTCGACATTCCAAAGTTTGGAGTAAAGAGCAACCGCGCTCCACAGCTGCAGTCTGCGTTTTAAGAGTGAAGGTAGTCTTTGACGTGCTGCAACTGTATAGGATTCTGTGCATGTATCCTGTGCAGCGGTTGGCTCTCTTGAACTAATTTAAACTTTATTGTCGACACGTCGAGATTAAACTCAACATGACATTTCAACTTTATTCTCGAAATGGCGAGTTTAAAGTCGACAGGGCGAGATTAAACTCAACATGACATTTCAACTTTATTCTCAAAATGTTGAGTTTAAAGTCGACATGTCGAAATTAAAGTCGACATGTCAAGTTTAATCTCGTCATGGCAAAAATATTTTTTCTCTTCATGTGTGGCCCTAATACTCCGTCGTAGAATTCTGAGGTTAAAGTCAGAATTATGCGAAAAAAGTCGGAATTCTGAGATTAAAGTCAGAATTCTTAGAAAAAAGTGGGAATTTGAGCAAAAAGTCGGAATACTGAGATTAAAGTCAGAATTCAGAGAAAAAAGTCGGAATTCTGAGCAACAACTCAGAATTCTAAGATTAAATTCAGAAGTTTGACTTTTTTCTCATATTATACTGAAATAAAATGTAAAAATCAGTTAACTTTTTTTTGGTTTTTCAGTGGCCCTAATCCTCTTCCGTACATTTGGGTTTGGTTTCATTCTCGTAATTTTATAAACAACTGTGATCTCAAAAATTGCTTTTGTACACTTTCTAACGTACAAAAAAAAAAAAAAAACTTTTACGGGGCGCAAGGACATTACGTCACTTCCTGTCATGTGTTGTTTTTACTTCCGTAAGGTGGGGCTTTGTTACGGGAGCGGTTTGTAAACCAATCCGTAGGTCTGTGCTCTGAAAGCTTTCGGCTAGATATCATCCACCGAGGGAGAAAATAGGAACTTCGGTAAGGCGTCAACATCTTCTTATTTAAGTAAAGCGTAACTATGTAATTAATAGTATAGCCCATAAAAATGACACCATATTACCTTTATTTAGAAAGGCTGAGTGGAGTCTGGAAATGCTGACCATTTAACGGGAAATCGGTCTACAATAATGTAATGTGTGTGTTGTGATGGTTTGCAAACTCTTTTCCTAATCATAAAACTCGATTTTTAGTAAAACAACACTGATAAAACTGATAACTCAATTTCCCTCGACCTGTGCTTATTTTGAATGGCTCAAATAGAAGTTAACAGAACGTTTTTTGAAGCTTTTTTTTTTATATACCGATAAAAGCTCAAGTATACCTCCTTTTCTATTCATTTTGTTAAATCTCCACTAACTTGTACGTTTTCCGAGAGTTAAGTTGAACAACAGTTTCTCCTATCAGGAACTGCTGTATTAACTCTTAACTGCTGTAAAGTTTTGGCTCTGAGAGGAAGACCCACCCAAAGTAGCCTCTAGCTGATGTTGAACATCTGTTTGTATCTTCAGGCTATGTAATTTGACCCAGTCTATAAGACACCACTCTAAGCTGTCTGTATTTTTTATATTGTTCACTTTTACCTGTCTAAAATGATGTTGAATTACAGAGATCCATGGCGGATGGAGTCACAGTCAGTTTAGCCAGTTGGCAGGGGGTTGTTTATATATAAACAGTGTTGTGTATAGATGATGGTTTGTGCTCTGCCTGTTTTTAAATGTGAGAAAGAGGGTGGAGGGTGCTGGCAAAGCAACAAACACTTCTTCCATCTCATTAGTAGTGACAGGTTTATTATGGGTTTAGGGGAAGTGAAATTTGTACATCCTTTCTGGGCAACCTGCTGCAAAAACTTGTTGTTTTAGGATCTGCATTGAGTCATCCTTCCCATAAACAACTCGTGAACAGAATGCTGAGCCCAGCACATTCACAGCATTTTCATGGTAACCAGCTTAGGAATTGCTCAGCAGTCTTGCAGGGCTTGGCCTGGCTTTTAAAAAGCTTTTGCAGAGTATTTTCTTAATACTTTTATTTGTGATTTTATATCAAAAGTTGTTTTTACCCAACACTCTGTCACAGATAAAAAGCAAAAGTCATAGTTATGGATTATGTAAATGTGCTAATCTTTAAGTCTACCTGTTGTTTTAGGTTTGTGTGTTGTTGTTTGATTGATTTATTTATTTATTTTTAGGTTATTGCCATAACCTAAAAACTTTGTCCAGGCATTTTCACATATAATTGGCACTATTTTCAATTTCTTCTATTGGCTATTTAATCTAAACTGTTATTTAATTTAAAACTTTATATTTTTTGGTTTAACAACTGTGCTATCTTAACGCTGCTTACTGTAGGTTTCGCAGTCCTCTGTTTACTGTTGTTCTTTAACACTGTAACTTGTCAGAGCATGACAGGACATTTTTTTTCCCCCTTCGCTTCTCCTAAGATTCAGTCTGGTTGGCTCACATTCTAGCCCCACCATCTCCACATTTCTGAGTTTCTGAAAGAGCTTTATAAATACAGAAACTCCTTGGTGTGTTATCACTTTTATGTCTCAGAGCCTTGATAATGCAGTTGGCCACATTAGTGGTAAAGCTTTTTAACATGTATTTGATATACACTCATAAGCCAGTTTAATGGGTAAATGTGCTACCAGATTAGCAGATTTACCAATGATTTAATACATTTCTAAAGGCTTTATTTTCCTCGGATTTATTTGCAGCACATCCCTCCACATCCCAATTGAAGCCATTTCACTTGGATCTGACGATGGTCGAAGTTAAAAGAATAAAAATAAACCCCTATTATGTTTGTGAGGATTAAAGCTGTATAAAATGGTGAATTATCGTACTAGAGAATTAAAGGCCTGTTATACTCCTGCAGCAGTGTGTCTCAGTGAGCTTGTCGCAGGTATGATGCAGACATTTTTGATTTGTGCTCCATTTTAAAGCGTGGTCTGTGCTATGTTATTCCACGCAACGACGCAAGAGGGACAATCATGACCTACCTGTGGGTCTAGATACGGTCGAGGGGGTTATGAAGTGGGGGCAAGTTTGTAAGACAACAGAGGGATATAATTAAATTATTATTTTTTTAATTAAGGCCTTGATTGGCATTAAAATTCATTAAAAAGGCGATTATCTTGGCATAAAAAAAAAAATCACCAGATATATTATATTGGGATATATTTGCGTGGAACTGCTTCCGGTTGATCGTAAATCCGTATGTTCGGATAAGAATCTTCAGGCGAAGAAAAAACTAGAGAAGGGGCAAAAATGCAAATTTCAACAAAAGTGTCTGGAAAACGAAGAATTTCGGAACATGGCTGCAGCCCGTCGACGGTAGAAATGACAAAGGATTTTTCCGTGTTTTTATACATATAAATCATGGGTACATGTTGATGGCATTAGAATTATTTCTAAGAGCATTAAAAAGGCATTAAATTAGATTGACTCATTTCTCATTTCTATATAAACCCCAATAGTTTCGAAGTATAAATCAGCCTTTAGTCATCAGAAGATGGGTATACTACTGATGGGATGGAAACATTTTTCAGATAGTTTTAACATTCCTTAGCTGCTACAAAGGAATCTAAACTGTGCCTAGAAAAATCTCTCCCACAAAATATATGCAAGTTATACATTAATTGTGGGATAAATTGTTGTAACTATTATCTGTTTGAGCTACTGTTGCCTTTCTACTGGATTAAAGGGCCGGGCCCATTATTCTCTGAGAAGAACAATGCTTTTTCTTTTATCAAAAATGCAGCTCATTGGATATTATCAGTTTTTTCTAACCATTATCAGTAGACTGGAAGGATATCAGTGTCAGACACATATGTTGACCGGCCCATCTAGCAACAACTATGCCACATTCAAAGTCCCTTAAACCATTTGACTTCCTTTTTCTGTTGCTCACTTAACACCTTAGCACGATGTCTTCACCATATGCCTTTTGTTCACTGATTTGCTAAAAATAAAATAAACTGGCATACCTAATGAAGTAGTGGGTGAATTTATCATTTTCTTGTAAACTTAGATCCTATCTAGAACTAGTCTCAACGTATGCCCCGGTTGGTTTTATCTGATTGTGGGGACGTTGCCAGCTGCAGGTGGGATCATAAATCAGCATTCAGGACAGTTTAATTCAGACCAGCCTCTCAGATGATCCTGCTTTTGTGTGATTAATTAGTTTAGCAGAGTAAATGTAGTCTGTTCTGAGATGCCACCTACTGACAAGAGATCAATAATCAAAATGTTTTCTTCTTGTTTCAAAGTTTAGTTTTGCTGCTACAATCATCATTTTTGTTTTCTGATTTTTGGTTTCCTCTCTAAAATAAAAAAAGGCAAAAAATTGACTAATAGTATAACAATTGTCTTATAGCCTTTTAGCTGTAAGATGTCCTGATTATTTATTTTAGGAGACTAAACTGTTTCTGTGAGAAAGTAGTAGCTGCAAGACACGTTATTACTTTTTTTTTTTTAAAGGTATAGTGGAGGACGTTCTTTTTCCAGGTGGATCATCAAAATAAGTGGTCCTCCTACTTGTCAATCATTCTGGTGATATGATTAGGTAAGGCAGTCCTACATGGTCCCCATTTTCAATTAACGGTGGTGAGTCTGATAGTGGAAAAATTGTAAATCTTCTAGAAAGTTAGCTTGTATGAGCGATGCAAACAGCAACTTTTAAATATAGCGTGCACGAGGAGAAGTGCACTCGTGCATGCTCTCACACACGTTTAACAGGCGTTTAAATGTGGAAAGGACGGTTCTTTAAAAAAAATCCCCAAAAATCCTCTACACCACACAATCCTCTATACCTTTAAGATAAAGGATTAGTGCTTTTAGCAGCTTTTGTTGGAAATCAATGTTTTCTCTAGGGTTTCTTGAAATTGTTCTCTCCTTCTGTATCACTAGCCAGTGTAGAACCTTTCCTTAACTCAGAGGTTTCCAAAAGTAAACGAACAATCTCAGATCAGTCACATACCATGACAGGCTGATAGCTCCTAATGATAAAACAGAAGAACTTCCCTGTGCTCCTTTTGGCCTCCTTTCTCTTCTTTTTTTAGCTCTCATGCAGCCTGTGTTTATCACAGGTTTGTTGTGAAGTCTTTCACCTTTCATATTATTTTTAAATGTCAGCGATGGAGCATATGGCTAACTTTTGAGAGCACAATACTCTAACCATTACAAACTTTGTGTTTGACAAAGATCATTAATGAATCATAAAATCAACCTTGGCTACAACTGTCAAGAGTGGCGTAAAAAAGCCTTCTGTTGTATCTCAGATGTTCTTGTTTCAGAGTTAAAATCTTTTTATGTGCTAAGCATTTCAGAGAATGTGATCAAAATTTTTTAAGACTTAATTTTGTATCAACAAGTACTGAAATTTAAGTACTTATTTAGTGTAGTGGTGGAGATTCACCAATCTGATACCCCAGATATCTGCTCTGGGGCCGGTATCAGATGAATGACGCTGAAACAGTATTATCATCCTGTCATTTCTATTTCTATTGATCTCATACTCTGCCACCGGGAGGACTGTCTACAGGAAGCTGTCATGGGGAAAGGTACATTTTTTTTTTTAACCTTGGGATTAGGTTTGACATGTTGCTAGTATAGTTGCTGCCTTATGTGGTCCAACAACTAACTTCCTGATTTGAATAGGAAGTTAAAACCTGGTTACATTTAGATGGCCACAACGTTTATGTGCACATAACAGGCAAATTCACAAATTGGATCTCTATTCCAGTACGTGACCCCTATCTGACTTTTTCCAGCAGTGTGAACAGCCCATTTCTGATTTTTCAGGAGTTCTTTTTTTTTCTTTTACCTAAAGACATTCAGGTTTGAGACATTTCCAAGTGGTATAAATTGTTAATAGTAGTGAACTGTTGTTTCTTGCCTACCTTCACCTTGATGATGTGGCTCAACAAATTAATAAAACAGAGACCATAATTAATTTTTTTTTTTGAAAAGCTTTATTGA